CTCCTGAGAAATGCGAGAAAAACCCTAATTCTTAATTTACTGCCATAGAAAGGTCTGTTTGATCTATTCCTCGGCCAAATCTTGAAAATCTGAGAAAACCCTAAGGTTGTGATTTCTTGTGAAAATTGGAGGGCAAATTTTGGGGTACAACATTGCAGATAGCAAGAGTCGCCACCGACTTTTCTTTTATCCAATAAGGAAAGTCTGAAATGAACAGGAAAGACCTTTCGAGATTATTTCTTGAGTTCGGGGGGTAGGTTATGAAAAGGGAAGGTATTAGCACCCTTTTCATCTGTAGTTATCTACGGGCTCTTAGTTGCTTGATAAATCACTTTCTTTTTTGTTTGAAAGTGTGTTTGTGATGTGGGTTTTGAAAGTATTTTGAAAAGGAGTGTCTTTGTAATGGTTCTCGTTTCTAAAAGAACGCGTACAAAGTGTTTTAACTTTTGAAAATGTTTCCAAGTGAAATTGTGGGTGTATAAAATGTTTTTATTGTGAGCAAGCGAGCAACTAAGAGCAATCTACCTACTCAAAAGGTATTAAACGTTCTTTCCTCCTCCTTTAGATGTTGTTATCTCACCATTGTTTTGGTAAGAAACCCCATCGTTGGATGTGAAGGGACGGGCGTTGGACGTTTTGTATAGCCATAGAAGGAAACTTATGGGACATTTTAGCAATGTCGTTTAGGGACTAGATCGTTTACCGAAGGCAACATTGAGGGTCATCGAGGGACTACGATCTTTTATCGAGGGTTTTTGCTAAAACGCCCATATTCGAGGAACATGACTATTTTCCGAAAGGCAACAAAGTGAGATTACCCTAGAGGTGCTAGTGTGCAAGTGTGTTTGATTTACATGCATTTAGTCTTTGATTAGGGTTATCCATTTATTGATTTTATCTTGCCATACATCCTAATTACTAACAATATATGAAAGCAAATAAAATGCAGAAAAATAAATCCTAAGTTATTACATCATTTTAGGGATGGGGATACATATTTACAAATAGGGATTGCAAGAATTTAAATCCTAATTATTTATTACAACCATATTAAATTGTACAATACAAGAAAAGGAAAGAATTTGTTTTGAAAATGGTTTTTTTTTTTGTCTTAATAAATCAAAAGGAAAATAATTAGTTAATAAAAATAAAATATTTTTTATGCCTTTTTTATATTAATAAAAATAATATTAATGCTGGAAATAATAAGAATAAGAAAGAAAAGGAAAAAATAAAGAAAACAGGATCAGCATGTTGCTGAAAGCAAAATGAAGGGGACCAGAAGTTCTGATGCTAGACACGATGTAGTTCAGAAAGAAACGTTAGAGAGAACCAGAAGTTCTGGATCGCTGCGCGCTGAAGTTCTGAAAGAAACGTTAGAGGAAACCAAAAGTTATGTGTTGTGTTATAACAGTGAGAAAAAAAACCTAGAAGTTTTGTGTATTGTGTTAAAACAGTGAGAAAAAACCTAGAAGTTATGTGTGTTGTGTTAAAACAGTAAGAAAGCCTAGAAGTTTTGTGTGTGTTAAAACAGTAAGAAAGCCTAGAAGTTATGTGTGTGTTAAAACAATAAGAAAGCCTAGAAGTTCTGTGTGTGTTAAAACAGTAAGAAACCCTAGAAGTTCTGTGTGTGTTAAAATAGTAAGAAGGCCTAGAAGTTATGTGTTGTGCTAAATCAGTGGGAAAGAAAACTCAGAACTTCTGTGTCGCACTTTACCTCCTTTCTTACATTAGCCAGAGCTTTTGCAACTTATTCAGTTCTTAACAACAGCAAAACAGAAAAATGAAATCACGACAGTTTATAGAAGTTCTAATTCTAATTCTGAGCCTAGTTTCCTTCAAGAAGTTCTGATCCATAAATTTTCTACTTGGGCAATGATATATATACAGTCTCAGCACTATGATATCTACATTTTAATGATGTTCTGAATGAAAAGTTCAAAGTCAGAATGACTTACCTTGAATCTGAAGTGTGTGCTTGGGACCTGAGCTGCTGCCTTTGAATGCTCTGGGGTCAACAAGAAACAGAACAAAAAATGTTGTGTTCTTTGATTCAAAACGGAGGAACAAAGGTATTGTTTTGGGAATTCTGGGTTTAAGAATGTTTGAATGTTTTCTTTTCTCTCTTTTTTTTATTTGATCACTCTCTCTTTCCAAAATCCAGTCCCTTAAACGTGTGATGGAACAACTTATTTATAGATGAGTTTGTTGTGGTTTTGGGGGGAAAACAAATGGGATTTGAACCCTTTTTGGCATAATGTTTCATTGCTTTTTAAACACAGCTTTTATGTGCTAATTTGGTGTAAATATGGGGTTTGAGAAAAATGAAGGCGTGGACTGGATCAGCAGCAATTTGGAGTGTTGTGGCAGCTGGATGCAGGACTGTGCCATAGCAGTGCAGCAGACTGTTCAAACGAGGTTTTGGGGCTTGGTGATGTTCTGATCGAAGAAGACCAGAATGAGATTCGAAGGGTGATGTTCTGATCGAAGCGCTGAAGATTCATGTTCTGATCGAAGAACACAATTTCCATATGTTATGATTAAAGAGTCATGTTCTGAATCATTTTTGCAAACTCTGACTGCACTTGTGTGAAAACTGGCCCAGGAGTTCTGAAATTATCATATTTTCAAAGTAATTTCTGACATTTGATTTCTTGATGAACCAATTTCATGTCTTAATGAAATATGATTTTTGAAGTTTGATTTTGATCAAAGAGTCAAACTTTGACTTCTTAGTATACATTTGACCACTTTGCCCTTGTGAATGGCTTTCTTGGAAAATTGTAATCCGAGACTTCAAACTTGACAGAAGCAATCCCGAGGGTCCAGGAGGATCCCTTGGGAAATGAGAGGGCAAATTTTGGGGTACAACACCAGGCATATCTTGGTATGACCAAGAAAAGATGTCCACATACTCTTTCAATAATTCAGTCAACCTGCTCTTCATATCAGGATGCAACAATACTCCAAATTTGACTTCCTTTGGATCTTCCTTTGAACCCAAATTGATTGTCTCCAACAGCTCTTTATACGGCTGAATGGCATTTACCTCACGCTCGAGAAACCGTGAAACCTCTTCTGGAATATCATCATGTTCTTCTTCTTTGGTCACATACACAGGATATTCAAAGTTGGGAGAGGGTGCAGGGTCATTGTACTCAACAGGTTTTTTAATTAATCTGTACATGTGATTTATGATTGCTTTTAGAAATTGACACATATATCAAGTGATTATGCAAATTTATTTACAGTTGTTATTTATTCAAAAAGAAAGGGTTTTTTATGATTACTATTTTCCAAGAAAAAGCAGAAAATAAAAATACAGTTTGAGAGTCAAAGACAACTTTTGTTTATGATTTTAATGATTAAAGCAAACAGATAAGCCCATACAATATTAACTTTCACCTCGGGCAGAATGAAAGCTTTTTGAAAAGATAAACAAAACAAATTACTTTGAGACATGGATGCAAGAGGGAACATCAAAAGTGACCCAGTTCTGGATTCTGACTCCAGGCGTCACATAATTCAGCATCTCCTGTTATTCTTCATCCTCCACAATAACATTAATTTCAGAAACTGTTGGGTGAAGGTATCCTCCGCTGTGGAAAATATCCTGATAGCTGCTTACAGTAGACTTTGGCTTCAAGTTTTCACCTTTTCCATTCTTCACAGAAAATCCTAATCCATCCCCGTTCTTGTTCACCGGCAGGTCAACAATCTGTCCCCACACTTTACTAGGTCCATTGCGCACAACTTGTTGAGCATCTTTGAATGAAGCCATATAATTCTCATTCTCTCTTATGTTATCAACGGATAAAGCTTGGAACTGCGTTCCAACGGCAGCTACATCTGCTTCTACAACGCTGAAAGATGATAGATGAGATATCATTAATACTTGCTCTCCATTTATAATGACCACCTTTCCTTCTTGCACGAACTTCAACTTTTGGTGCAGAGTTGAAGTGACAACCCCTGCCTCATGTATCCATGGTCGTCCCAGTAAGCAGCTGTATGCAGGTACAATATCCATGACTTGGAAAGTAATCTAGAAAAGGTGCAGGCATATGTGTGTCATACCCCAAATTTGTCCTACCCTCCTCTATATATCATCTGGCTTATGCATTTCATGCCCCTCATCTACATACCCTCCATTAGGTCATCATACACCAATAAACTTGACATGGGATCAAGGATTTTTGTAAGCTAGGGTTTCTCTATGACTGTGAAGTTTTCACTTCACTCAAACTTGATCCAACTGGTTCATTCATCAATTGTGGATTATGAAATTAAGGTTCGGATTCATGGCCATTATGAATTTTGTCTTTATTGAGTTACAAAGTTTCCCTTAATCAATATTTTTTCAAAGGTAAAATGAGTTAGAGTTTTCTTTATCCTATTGTTGCTTCAAATACAATTTGTTGTGAACATGGGGTTTAAGGCATGTAAATAAGGTTTTAGTTCAAGGATGCATTAATTATGCAAAGCTTGAGCTGCAAATGGAATTCAAAAGGGCTAAACATGGAGATAGTGATCCATTCGAATTTTAAGGCATATAATCATAGCATTATTCAGAAGGAAATGATACTAGAATCTTATTCAATTAGGGTTGTGATGGTTTGAGGCAATTTATTTAAAATGATCAATTGATTACTTGTAGCACAAGTTTTCCAAGGGACTCATCTTTTTATCTCAAGAATAAAAGCTAAAGGCTATGAATCAAAGAGAAGTAGTATGACATTGAATCATTCATGTGAAATTGATAAATCATGTACATAATGAGCTACATGGATACAAAGTCAAAAGGAGAGACTTGGAAATCTAGAAGAGAAAGATGGTTCAAAAGTGTTTCATTTAAATTCACAAAACCAATACCCTATGAATAATTACAGAACACATTAAAAAACAGAACCATATCATTACAAACATCATCGTGGCCACCATTACAAAGAAGATTACAAAGAAAGTTTACATGAAAGTGCCAAAATCTATCTATTCTAACCTTATCTCACTACTCGTTCCTCACACAACTTCATCTTCCTTTTCCATGATTCCAATCCTTTACTCAAAGACTTCAAGATTACACAAATTCTTGACCTGTATAAAATTCAAACAGAAGACACATGGCGAAGGAGGCCAAAACTAAGGCAAAGTTATCATCTTGATAAAAACTTATGTAATCCTGTTTCTGCTACTGCTAGCGGATTTTCTAGTCTTATTAACAAAAGTAATCTTGGTTTTGTGGGTAATATACCTGAACAAATGAAGCAGCTCTTGTTGAAAGAGATAATAAAACTGACGAGGGAACCTTTGACACCAATAAAACCATTGTCCTGTTTAGAAAACAAGATCAGTGAAACAGTTAATTTCACAAACCAGTAAAAGCAGTTCACAAATAAGTCAGTATACAAACTTATCAAAATTAAAAGAAAAATTAAGCCAGAGCAGTACCAAACCAAAACAGAAACTTGAATATTTGTTACAATCCAGAACAGGGCATAGGCATAATCAAACAATAATCGACAAAATGCAAAAACGAGTCAAACGCAGTAAATTATAGAAAAAGAAGAATATCAATAAAACTAGAAACGTTTTAATGCGAATCAATACCATGTTCAAAATTACAGACACGAATTCGAAAAGTTTCCAAATCTAAAAACCTAACCATTTCTGAAATTCGAAATTGCAGACAGAGTTATTAATTTCCTTTTTTTGTTACGACAAAGCATTGATTAATTTCCCTAAATCTAAAAGCTAAGAACGCTATAAAACCATAAGGGTGCAGGAGAGAGAAAAAAGGAGGGAGCGAAGAAGCAAACCACCGCAGAATTGCAACCGGCCAGTGCTAGTCACCGCACTAGAACTACTACATGCACCTCCATGCCCACCGAAGCCAAGATCCGCTCCACCGGTAGCTCCAAGCCCTCCGATCTAACTGCAACAAACCCTTCATCACAGGCCTTCTTCGCCAGATTGTCACCTCCCCGTCCTCATCACTATCCTCCGCGAACGTCGAAACCTGTAAATACAAAAGGCGACGGAGGGATTAATAGTCGAAACAAAAAACAAACACCGAAAGACGATTAGGGGGTTGTAATTTAGAGGGGGGGTTCGGTGATTTCGAGTTGTTGTCACGCCACTAGGAAGGAACCTAGGGTTTGCTGGAGAGAAGGAAGAACGATTGAAGAGATAAAAAGAAGTCGTGAGAGAGAGAGAAGAAGGAATGGAAAATGAAATAGTAAGGACGTTTCTATTTTAACAAAATAGAATTGTTGGGCCTGGCCCAGTCACTAACCTCACCCCACCCTTTATTATTTTGCTAACCAGCTGAAAATCATGCACTCCTTTGCTTATGGGTCTGAATTCAATATCTGAATTCATTCCCGGCTGTACACACCCCCTTCATTTTACTAATTCATTTTAAACGACACCCCCTCTTTAATTATTATTTTTTATATATATTCTCTTTATAAATTTATTTATATATCTTTTTATTTAATTAAATTTTTGTATTTATTTATTTATATTTTATTACTTTAGTAATTATAATTTCATATATATTATTTACTTATTATCATAATTAATTAGTGATTTTTAGACTTAATAAATGTATTGGTTTATTCATATTAAAACCTTACGTTTAAAAACAATTTTCGCGGCATAATTTAGGTTAATGTTTTATACCCGAATATTAGAACAACGTTTTCATTAAACTATAATATTTGTAAGCGACATGTGGCCAATATCTGGCCATGTGATAAGAGGGCTATATCAGACTCTTCAGCTTCATACGTCTAAAAAATACAGAAACAAACGTCAAACAACTTTTATAATAAATTAAATCAAACAATTAATTTTAAAAAAGGAATACAAAGAGTTTTTAATTAAACTTTGCGTTTAGTTCAAAATCTCAGTTATACACATTCGAACTAAGTGCGGGGAAAATTAAAACATCTGCGTAATCCGTAAAAAACACAAACAACCCCGCGAACTACGAAATGAGACTTTGATTCCTCCTAGGAGGATACGTAGGCATACGATCAAAAATCGTGGCGAGTCCCCCTGTGATACGGTGGGAGAACTGACTTGAGGTTTTTGCGTTTTGTGTTCGCAAATGTTTCAGTTTAGCAAGAGTCGCTACCGAATTTTTATTTTATCCTAAGGAAAGGTCAAAAAGCACAGGAAAGACCCTTGAGATATTTTCTTGGGTTCGGGGAGTAGATTATAGAAAGGGAAGGTATTAGCACCCTTTCTATTCATGGTTATCCATGGGCTCTTAGTTACTTGCTTAGATCGCTTGCTTTGCTTTTCAATTGTTTGAAATGGTGCTTTGTGTGCGATTTTGAAAGATGTTTTGAAAAGAGGCCATCGTTGTGGCAACCTTTGTAATGATTCTTGTTTGAATGTATACAAAGGTGTTTTTGTCCTTTTGAAAAGTTTCCAATGTTTGAAAGTAGGGTTTTGAAATTGTGTGGTGAAGTGTGTTTTAAAAATAGCAAGGATGTTTTTTGCAAGCTTGATCAAGTAACTAGGAGCTATCTACCCTATTTTACTCAAAGATCTTTATTATGTTTTTAACCCTTTTAACAGTGTTGTTTCACCATTGTATTTGGTGAACAACCTTGTGTTAAGATGTTAACGGGACAGGCGCGGGTCATCGTATAGACCATGATAGCAATGGTGTCAAGTATCTTTAGAAATTTTCTTGAGGGACTTTGATCATTTTGTTTAGGCAACTCAGACAGCGTCATCGAGGGACTATGATCTTTTTGTTTGTTTTTGTTTTGCCAAAGTACTTGACATGCAACCATGGCCCATTTTTGAAGGCAACAGGTGGATTGTAACCCTAGGGGTGCAAGTGTGCATTGAGTTTGTTTTTCATGCATATTTATCTTTGATTAGGTCAAGCTAGTTGTTGATTTTATTTGCATACAAACCCTAAGTCTAAGCATGGCATAATTGGAAGCTTTTAAATGTGCGAGAATTTAAATGCTACACTATTACAACATGATATAGGGAGGGGGTACAAATTTGAATTGGGGGTATTTGATAAGAAATTAAATTCTAAATTATTACAACCAAATCGAATGTATAGGCAATATTTAAATGTACAATAATTGAAATAAATACAAATAAATAAAAGTCAAATAAAATGTATTATGTAAAAAAGAGTTTTTATGCATGTAAAAAGTATATTTTTAATGTGAAATGTAAATAAATAAAAAAGGGTTAATTCTTATTATTTTTTGTTATTTAAGGCAAAACCCTATGTAAAAAAGAGTTTTTATGTATGTAAAAAGTATATTTTTAATGTGAAATGTAAATAAATAAAAAAGGGTTAATTCTTATTATTTTTTGTTATTTAAGGCAAAACCCTAATTCTTAAATAAATAATATTATTTATTAATTATATATAATAATATATTAATTTGTACAAAAAATAGAAGTATATTATAAAAAAAATATTTTTAGTCTGAAATATTAATAAAAGTAAAAATGTAATATTTTTATATATATATATATATATATATATATATATATATATATATATATATATATATATATATATATATATATATATATATATATATATATATATATATATATATATATATATATATATATATATATATATATATATATATATATATATATATATATATATATATATATATATATATATATATATATAAATAAAAATTAATTATTTACAAAAAATGTGTATATTCTAGAAAATATTTTCAAGTGTAAATAAAAATAATAAATGAAGATAAGTATATTTTTGTATTATTTTTGAGTTTTTAATAAAAAGGAAATAGTTTATTTATATGATTATACTAACAAAATAAAAATAAATATCAAATAAATATGAAAAGTATAGAAAATAATTTTTTGACATTTTTTATATTTGGACAAAAAATAATAATAAAGTCAGAATAAAAAATAAAAATGTCAAAATGATAAATATTCAAGTAAATGGGCCAGGGGGTGTAAACTGATCAAAGGGGTGTCAAAAGCAAAAGGAACCAGGCCCAACCCAGAATCCACTTCTTCTTCTTCCTCTGAACAAACCTGCGCGCGCTATGTACCAAACTGTAACTCCTGATTCTTTGATCTTTTGACAAAACTTATAACATGAATATTGTAGAGAATTAAACAACGAATCCAACCATATAAAAAACTTGGATTAACTCTCAAAGACCAGAGAGAATTTCTCTGACCCTAATTTCTAACCTAGTTTTTTCAGAAAGTTCATGAGTGAAATTCTCTTAGCACGATTAATGTAAATGAAAACTAAGCATATGTATGGCTTCAGGGTTATGAGTACAACATATTTTATTCACAAACCTAAGCCTAACCATTCCTAAATAGAGAGATAGAAGTCCATGAAGTACCTGTTTCAGTTGACTTCGAGCTGGACAATGTAGAAACCTTCAATGGTGTTTGAGCTTCTTTTGAGCTTGCCTGAGCTCCAAGGAAGCTTTTCCAATGCTTGTCTTGTTTTGAAACAGCTTGAATCATGCTGTAGAACTCAACCTGCAGAGCTTTGAAACAAAAATGGCAATGTGGGTTAGAGGTGTTACAGCTTGCAATGGGGGCCTGGGATAGTTCAAGTGAGTTGATTGGAAGGTGTTTGAACTATCTTGAGACAAAACGTACGATGGAATTTGGTTATGGCTTGCAAAATGCAGAACTTGCCCTGTTTTGCAGAAAAACAGTGATTCTATGTACAAGGGAGTTTGAGAGGCAAATGGGTCGTGTTTCAGGCTTGTTGGGAGGTATGGAACTTGTCTACAATGTTTGTGTAAGCTTGTCTTAACAGATATGAGAGATGGTGTATGTTTGGCAACTTTTCTTCTTTTTCAAGCAAGAGTGTGTGTCCTCCCAATGCAGGCTTGTGCAAGCCCTATATCATGCTGCACATTATGCTATTGGTTACTGGAATTAGTGGATTTGATCCTGCCTCAAAGATCTGGCCCCATGCCTCAAGGATTTGGTTTTGACATAAAGTGAAGTTTAGGCAAAAATGACATTATTGCTTTTTCCTTTTAAGGCTTAAACTAGTGTATAATGCCCTAATGACCAAGACAATACCTTAACTCAATGGATATGGATTAAATTAAGGAGTACAAATTGGTTTTGAGGCCTGTAATGGTGAACCAAGCTAGCTAGATCAGAATTGCAATTTGGTATGAACATGTATTGGCCATGGGCAAAAGTGAGTTTTTGCCAACTTCAAGCATTCGATTCTCTCTAACCACAAGGGTGTTTGAGGAGTTCTTGGACAATTTAGAAAGCTTGGAAAATGTACTATAATCCATCTTTGAAATGTAACTTGAAACTACAAGTGGAACTATGTGAAAAGTGGCCAAGAAGATGGGTCAAAATCCTGCCTAGATTAGGGCAAATTTTCTCTAAGTTAAAAGTTTTAGGTACCCTTGTTCCAAAAATCATAACTTGAGCTACAAGCTTCTTTTGAGAAAACTTTGTGAATCAAAGTTGTAGATTTTTTGATGGACTACAACTTTCATGTTTCAAGTTTTCTTTGAATCCATTTGCATCTTGGTGAAAAAATGGGACAAAGTTAGGAAAAAATAAGAAAATTCCATAACTTAGAAAATTTCTAAGTTATGAAATTTTCCCATTTTAAACCCTAATTTGCATTTTTGGGTTTCTTGATGAACAAGTTTCATAATTTGACATGTCTTGATGAAAAATAACTCTTGGCACTTGATTTTGACCAAAAATTCAAAGTTTGACTTTTCAGTGTACAGTCAAATTTTGATCAGTTGACTGAAAAATTCATCTGTCAATCTTATGCATTTGAGATCTTTTGAACTTGTTGAATGGGTCAAGACAATTTCATTAAGTCCTTGAGTCCATGTGTGAGCTTGATTTGCCATTGGCTAGGTCAAACAGTCAAAAATTGCCTTTGTGCAGTCAAAACCCTAAAAATGACCATTTTGCCCTTTTGGTGATCTGATCAAATTTCTTGTGGAATTATGATCCAAACTTGATCAAATGGTTCATATGAGTTCATAATGTTGATGTGGGTCAAAATTCATGAGGTTTGACTGTCAATTGGCCACAGTTGACTTTTTCCCCAATACAATTGATTTCCAGGTCAACTGTCCAATTGACTGGGCAAAAATTTGAATCAAGGCTTGAAACTTGGTATAGACAAACTTGTGAGTCCAACATGAAGTATTAAAGTCACTTTGGGAATTGTAGGTCAAAAACATCCCTGTGCAAACTCAAACCCTAATTTAGGTCAACAGTGCAAGGAGGTGTCTTGAGTAGAGCAAATCCTAGCTTGATCTTCAGTTCCAAGAGTCTGGTGATGAGAAAATGTTGATGAAATGGGAGGGCAAATTTTGGGGTACAACACCCCCTAACTAAAACTTAAACCTTTCCCCTAATAATAATTAAAAACCCTATTTCCTAAAAACACGCTTCTAAACCTAGTATCCTTGTGAACAAGGTAGATAAGGGGTGCCTAACACCTTCCCCTCGTTTAGAGCCGAGTCAAACCTAGAATCTCTGAAACTTTTTAGGGTTATTCCTTTATACTCCCTTCCTTTAGGGTAAAAATTAAGGGTGGAAACTCTGATAAAAAAATCAGTTGCAACAATGTGGATAGGCAGATCCACTTCCCCAATAACAGACTTCCTTGATCCATCGAAAGATTTTATAATAATACCACTTGGGTGCATGTGAGCCCCTTGATACTTCAGCTTTATCAGCGTCCTCCTCGGTATAACATTTATGGCGGGCCCATTATCAATCAGCACATTTGACAATGAATCATTTTTACAGTTCATGGATATATGGATAGCCAAATTATGATTCCTCCATTCGTCAGGAAATTCATCATCACAAAAGCTTAGGTTATTACAGGACGTATTACCTACCACATTGGTGACTTGATCTAACGTCATATCACACACCACGAAGGCTTGATCCAACACCCGCATTAAAGATTCTCTATGGGCAGCAAAATTCATCAACAATGATAGGATAGATATCTTTGAAGGAGTCTGCAACAGCTGATTTACAATTCTGTAGTCTCTCATTTTGATAATCTTAAAAATATCATCCACATCTTTCTTCAGGGTAGCACCACTGGACTCCCCTACAGCTTTCTTATTTTTAACACTTTCCATAACTTTCTTACCATTATTATCATTTCCTCAAACAACCAATGTAAATACACGACCATTGCGGGTCACTCTACTAGTCTCAACAATATTCTAGATATTAGACAAAGGTTGGATGGGAAATTCCATACCATCCTCTAAAATAGTAGCATTGTACTTGTACGGTACAGCTTTGTCTGATTTGTAAGGAACATGCCCTGGCAAGCAAATCACCACTGGGGCAACAACTGGCTTGCTACAATATTCAATCTCAACAGGGACATAATCATTAAAACAAGGCACAATTAAATTTACACCTTCTTCATAAAATTTGGGTGCCAAAGAATAATCGCCGGAGAACATATCCTCATCTAAGGAAAATAATTCATATGCAGAAGCATATTCATCATCCGATTCAACCTCAGCCAAGCAAACTTTAATCTTATTAACCTCATGGTAATCATCTGTTTGGCTTAAAACCTTTATAGTTCCATTATCCAATAACAACTGAATACCTCTTCTTACAAGGGAACATCCTCGGGAATCCATGCAGCAAACCCAGCAAGATGCATAGTGGTGCTCTACCTGACCAGCCATGTGGCAGAAAGTAGGGTGCAATTACACGAGATCATCATTCATATGGTCCACATCAAATATCTGAAACTCTAAGGGACATCCAAAGACCATGTTCACTTCTTCCTCATATTCTGCCCTAGGCCTGATTATATGGATGAGACCCTCATCCATTATCTCCTACAAATCAACCTTTATCTTATCGCAACCTTGTATATCATTATTGCAAATACCACAACCAGCATGGTCATGATAATAGTAAATAAAATTGCAAAGGTCTACATGCATCTTTACCAAGTCTCCTCTAACCAAGTTGATATCATAAATGCGGAAGTCCCCTGGACAACCAACAACCATGTTAACAGTATTCGCTCCTCCATGCTTTGGCAGAGGATTATCTTTGACATTAGGACTGACATCCTTAAAGGAAAAAAGGCCATACCTCACCATTTTATGTACCTCCGATTTCAAGGGATAACAGTTTTCCACATTATGCCCTGGTGCACCCTGATGGAAAGCGCACGTCTCATCTGCCTTATAGTACCAAGGAAAAGTTAAGGGTATAGTAGGGGGTGGTCTAGTCTGTACCAACTTTTCCCGGATCAATACTGGGAGTAACTCTGCATAACTCATGGGGATAGAGTCAAAAGCCTCTCTCCTCTGATTATGCCCTTGATTTCCTTAATGGGATAGTCTTTGATAAGCGACTGTAGTCGGAGCTGTATTAACAACTGGAGTTACTGAGGCAACCTGTTGATGGTGCTGATGATTTCTCCTAGGAGGATTATCCCTTCTCTATTGAATAATATCATTTGTCTCTCCTTCTTTATTTTTAGCAAATCCATATGATGGTTTCTTCACACTGCCAGAATTTTCACTTCTTGTCAGACGACCTTCTCTTAAAGCTTCTTCCAAACGGACGCCCATTCCCACCATCTCGGAAAAATCACTGGGTGCACTCTCCACCATTCTTTCATAATATAATTCACCTAGGGTCTTCAAAAAAATCTTTGTCATCTCTTTTTATTCCATTGGAGGAATCACCCAGGCGGATATTTCAGGCCATCTCTGTGTATATGCCTTAAATGACTCCTTGTCCTTCTAGACCATTGCCTTGAGTTGATTATGGTCAGGCACCATATGCACATTGTATTTGTACTGTCTGATAAATGTTTCACCCAAGTCATTGAAAGAATGAATTTTGGCATTGTCCAAGCTCATGTAACATTTCAACACTGCACCAGTCAAACTGTCTTGAAAGAAATGAGTCAACAAGCGTTTATCATCGATATGAGTAGACATTATCCTCACATACATCACTAAGTGAGCACGAGGGAAAGTGTTGCCCTTGTACTTTTCGAACTCTGGTACTTTGAACTTTGCAGGTATTTTCACATTTGAAACCAAACACATATCATTCACATTCTACCCAAATAGTTCTTTTCCTCTGAGGGCCTTCAACTCTTTCTGCATCTTATCAAACTGATCCTGAAAATCATCCATCCGATCATAGAACCCTAAGCTTTCACTTGGTGCAGGAATAGGGCGATACACTTCATCATTAGCAAATGGTACAACATTCACCGAGGGAGGTGCAGCATAGTGAATCTCATTTCCAGCAACAGGGGTAATATGCACCACAGAAGGTGCAGGAGAAATAGTAGCCTGGGCAAGTGGAGAAAATTGAGCATCCTGATTAAAACCTTTCGGCATAAATTTCTCTAGCATTCCCCAGGGGATAACCTTGAGGCAAACGATTCTGAATAATAACAGCTAGAGTAGCAGAAACAGGAACAGTCAGAGCTTTAGTAGTAACTATTTTCTGTTGAGGCTGAGAAAGTGGTGGTTGATTTTGAGCAGCCAGCAAATATTCCATTAGAGCAGTCAGATTGGCCATACCGGTCTTTAGAGCAGAAACTTCTTCATGCAGCTCGCGATTCTCTTGTTCTAGATTATCCATCTTCCTTCTGAAATTGGCCCGAGTATTGTATTGATGAGACAACTTTCTATATAAAGTAAAGAAGCTCAGTAAGACACCTGGATATGTATAAAAATTCAAGAAGTATGTATAATATGATTCATCATATGCAATGCATATGATTTATTTTATTATTAATATTTCAAGGAACTCAAAGATTTATAGACAATTTTGCAAATATCAAAGTAATAACACATTTGAAATACTGAAAATCACATTATAATAACTTCAAAACGAATTACATATTTTAAGTACAAGTTTCAATAATCCCAAGTACAAGATGAAGATAAAGCCTAAAAACCCTATAAAAGCAAAGCTAATGGAGATCACTCTTCACGCTGACGCTTTTCTGTGAGTCTTACGATCTGAGCCTTCAACCTCTGGTTCTCTTCCACGTATTTATTGGCGACCACTTTCCAATCATCAGAGTCGGAAGGTGAGCAACTAAGGCCCGACTGAGGCTTATAGGAAAATAAATCCTCTTGCCTTTCCATCACTTCTACAGCATAACTCTCAAGAATCTCGATCAGATCATCTTTCTCCTTCAGGTCTGCTCGGTAAGACACCTCTAAAGTATGACACTTATTCTTACAAGCTTCATTTTTCTTGCTGCATCCTAACTAAGGCAAGCTAGAGCTCTTCCATATCATCCAATAGGGGAGAAGTGGTCTTCACAAACATATCAGGCATATGTGCTTCACGGGAATATGGCATCTTTAACTAGACGGTTGTTGCTTGTACCCACTGAAGATAAGGCTCCAAAGAAACAACCCCTCTAGGTCCCAAGTCCTTCCTACTCTTCTTGTGAATATGAAGCCAAGCCTTTGCAATCTTCTCCTTAGCTTCCTTATGAAGTTCTCCCTCTTTAAGGAAGAAACCACTCAGATGAATACTATTTGGCTTATCCATCATCGGATATCCAAGATGTCGTCGTGCAAGAACAAGGTTGTAGTTAATTCCTCCCTTTGTACTAAGAAGAGGTACATTAGGGAAACTACCACAACTGTCTACAATCTCTACATTATGGTATGTCTGATGATACCAAACAATATCTGAATGAGTGAGGGCCATAATCTTTGGATCCCAACGAGGTTCCTTTCTTACATCCCAGAAAACATCAGATCGAGGCAAGTGAGAAATAAACCACTGATACAACAAAGGTGTGCAACATATGATCATCCCTCCATGATAAGAATCCTAAAGATGAATAGAATAATAAGCATCACCCGACAATGTAGGGACTGGGTTCCCAATCATGAAGATTCTGATGGCATTGATGTCCACAAATTTGTCAACATTGGGAAATAAGAACAACCCATAAGCCAGTAGAGCAAAGATAGCCTCAAAAGAAACCGTACTCTTAATTATGGAAAAATAGCGAACTTTATCCAATAAGAACTGAGCTGGTAATCCTATAATCCCTCCTTTGGTAGTCATGTGGGCTTCAACCTCAGACTTCCCCAAATGGATCAAAGCAACAATCTCATGGGATTTTGGCTCCCCCTGTAAACCAGTAAAAGGAACACGATCGATAATAGGTAAACTCAGCAAATAAGAATACTCCTCTAATGTAGGTATCAATGGATAATCATGGAAAGTAAAACATCGATACATCAGATCATAGAACTGGACCAAAGTCGAGAGAATACCCTCCTTCATCCTGAGCTTTATAAGAAAAATGATGGACCCATACTTCCTCCGAAAATCTTTAGAACTCTCGATCTCGGGTATTAGACTCATCAGCTCATCTATCTTGGGATCTTTAAAACTTTACTTTCGAATCTTTCTTTTTCCAGAATCCATGGTCAAAAGCACCTAAGATATTCACAAAGAGTCAACTTTTAAGTCCCTTGAAACAAAATGTCTTTAGAAGATGCTCATGGGTGCATGAGTGCATGATGCAACAATCACACACAAGATCACAAACATAGGGTTCATAGGTGTTTTAACCTAAAATTTTCCCTCTCATTTCTCAAGATATTTCCTACAAAGATCTTCAATGACTCAAGTTTGCGCAAGTATCGACTAGGTCAAATCATCTCCTCAATACTGATGTCTCAAATTAGGGTTCGAGTTTGCACAAGGATAATTGGACTCCTAATACTTAAAATGACTTTCATGGACCATTATGGACCCTCAATATTGCTCTTGTCAAGTTTCAAAGTCTTAGATCACAAAATCGCTCAATCAATTGATCATATGACCTAAAACTAGTTGTATTAGAAAAAAGTCGAATGTGGCCAACCTACAGTCAAACTTCAAGATTTTGGACCAATATCAACATTGAAGTCATATGTGTTGTACCCCAAAATTTTCCCTCCCATATTCTTCAAGATTTGTCAAGATCAATCTTCAAATGCTTCAAGATTCCTCAAGGGTTGCACAGTCAAAACATCCTCCTAAGACAGCTGAAATTAGGGTTTTGGTTCTCTCAGTGAATTTGAGGTTTTCAATGGGCCAATAAAGTCCCATGTGCCCATATACATTGCTAATCATCTACATGTCAAGTCTCAAGACTCACAGGGTCCAATTGCACAGTCAAAAGCCTTATTTGGTTCACAGTCAACTACAGGGGCAAAATGGTCATTTTACAATCAAAAGTCATAATTTTTGGTCAACATCTTGTTTTGAAGCCACAATCATCATTTGATCAAGTCTTGATCATGATTCCACAAGAATGGCTCAAAAATCATCAAAGATGCAAAAGTTGCTATTTTTGGACAGTAGAAAAGTCAACTGTAACTTGACCAAGGCATAACTTTTTCATGGTTCATCAGAAAAATCCCATCCAATTATAATTTTGAAGGGGATGACATTTCCTACAACTCATCTTCACATTCCAAGTCCAAGAAATGCTCTCACAAAAAGTTATCAATTTCTACATTATAGGTCAATTTCAAAAGTCAACCAAAAGGCACTTTAAGTCAAGGACCATAACTTGCGATTGGTAAATCAAAATGACATGGGACCAAAGGTATTGGTTAGAGGACTTCAAGACCTTTCCAAAATGTCCAAGAACATGTTAATAGGATCAAAATTGAGCAAGATATGCATTGGAGAAGTTGGGAAATTTTTGTGAATTTACAAAAGTCAACTTTGCCTAAAACACCTTGTTTTTGCTAATGGGCCTCAAATTCCTTCTTGAATCTTTGCCCAAGGCCTATGCACGACCCATTGAACTTAAATTGATTTATTTTCTTATTTTTAATTAATTAATTGAATTTTTATTAATATTAATTCATTTAATTCATTTAATTGTAGGAAAATTCAAAAGATATGGTTTTCAAATCTTTTGTGATGCAAATAGGCTCAGGGCAAGCTGGCAATTTCGTGCATCCATCAAAGAGGCAAAAATATCCAATTTTGGCAAGGTTTTTTAATCAAAAAGATTGAAAAATATTTGATTGGAAATCAAAGATGCAAAACATTATTCCATGGATCTTTGACCTAGTTTGTACCCTAATTCCCTTCCAACATAAATACTGAAGCAAACCCTAAAGCCTTGGACGTGCAAGTTGCTGCAAAACACCATAACCAAATTCCAAAATATCAAGAAAAAGTTGAAAACTGAAATCAACCTTCCAGCATAATTCAAAGCCTTTTCTGGATTCAAACACGTTGCTAGCATACTCAGAAACAATTTGCAATCGAAACC